AACACTTAACACTACTTCCTTCTCTCTCACACAGCTGCACTCTTAGCATGCTCAAGCTATTTCTTTGTCAATAATAACATCTTTTATCCATCTCTCACACAAGTATATTCCAAAGCAATTTATTATTTTCTTCTGCCGCTTTGCCAATCCTTCACCTTCTTGCCTGAACCACCTTGTGGGGTACTTTTTTGATATCTAAGTTAGGGCCACCAGATCTGGGCTGCAAAAATGTGGTGGGTCGTTGGGGGGGAGAGAGGGAGGGAGGGGGGAGGGAGGGAGTGCAGAAATAGAAAAAACTGTAGTACTTTGCTGCCATCTGGTGGATTGGCGCATTTTGGCGAGCACCGTTAGGTTGATAAGGATGCTCCCGATTCCTAACGGCTGGAGCAAGGTAGCTTGGATGCAGTTCTTTCGGATTAGCTCGCTCAGCTGCCAATCACTGGAACCCTCAACCAATTGACGACCGTGTTTGGAAGGGCGAGAGAGGAGGCGGCACCAGGTCCGCTGGCTGCGGCACGCGAGCCCCCGCCACGGCCTCCCATTGGCCAAGCGCTCAGAGGCGCGGCCTTGACTGGCGGAGTTGGGCGGGCCAATGAGGAGGAGCCACCTTCTGATTGGCCGTGGCGGGGAGTCAGAGGGGTGTGAAGGGCAGATTAAAGGAGGAGCGGAGAGACGCGGCTGAGATGAGTTTGCGGCGTTTGGCTTCCAAGACGCTTCTCTGCGGGCTCTTGATAGGGCGCGGCCTCACAAGAGCGATGGTAAGTCGTAAGCTGGAGTGGGTCTCCCGGTGAGTACGTTCTAGTCATGGCGGTCTTCTCTATGGTCAGACCATAGAGTGGTCACCTTGGAGTGCTATGGCGGGTCTCCTTGGAGGATCCAGATGATCCCCTCCTAAGAGTCCCTGGAGGACTTTCTCTCTGATCCCGCGAGGTTGTCTCTTCTACGGGTTCTTTTCCGAGGAATATAATTTTCCCACAAGCATTACGGTAGGGTGAGGCTGGAGCCCAGGAAGATGATACTTAGATGTATGGGAGAGTGTTGCCCTGGGGTGCTGTGAGTTTTTTGGTTGTTTTTACTGCTTTGGGGGCTGCCCAGGGTGGTTGTTATAATAAGGGTGGCTTGTGAAGTAAATAAAACAAATTTTACTATAGCAGGTGTCTTCCTTGTGGGCAAATTGGACCATAATTCCCAGGATCTCCTTGGAAGCAGGACAAAAGCTTTTCCCATAATGCTTTGGGTGGGCTGGGCTGATTTTCCCAGAATTCTCTGGGAACAGCTTGCTTTCTCCAGGAGGGCTGTGCGAGCCTCTTAAAGACTTATTTCAGCTTCTCCTTCCCATTCAGTTTTCTCCCCTTATGTGGAACTCTGGTTCCCCTCCCCTGGAGAAAATGGACTTATTTGGGCCTCAGGGTTCTGTTTTTCTATAGCTGTTTGCCTGCCCCAATTGGGTTAAAGCAATACAGTAGAAGGACCACGAAATGGAAAACTACCCCTTCCCAGAATGGTCATTATAATTTAAAATGGATGTCTTCAGGTGCCTTTCAGAGCTGAAATTAGTCTTAATTATTTATCTTAAGAAAACAGTGTTCTGTTATGGAACTGTTGGAGCTCCTTAGAGAATGGAGCTCTTAAATGAAAAACAGCTGCATTGAGCCATTGGGTTGACTAAGGTAAATTAAATGCGTGCAAATGCATTTAAAGTTCTAAACAGCTTGGGTGGTTTGGTTTTTAAATTTTAGTTAGCACCAAGGGCCAAAATGTTAGACAGGGACAACTGAGCCTCCAGCTCAGAATAAGTGTGCCATAACAGAAAATATTGTTTGTACCTTACATTTATTTATTAAACCATTTATCAGCCATGCCAGTTGCCAGAGCAATTCTGGAGGGCATTCAAGGAATACAGATTAAAACAGAAGTGTAAAAATACAAAGCGGTAGATATGTCAGGCCATATTGCTTTGCCCCAGGGCTTGCTGGGTAAGCCAGGTCTCTCCAGCTCTTCTGAAGCCTGCTGGGGCCATACAAACTTGGGGGTGGGGATGCTATTCCACAGGGCTGGAGTGGCCACTGAACACTGCCTGCTCCCCATCCCTGGCCTCTTTGTAGTGTAGCCATCCTCTGAAAACCTTTGTGTTTTCTCCTTTGTCTCTCTGATTCTGTGGACCGGCTTCAGTTTACTGCTGCTTTACTATAATGAAATTTCCACCCAAGAATTAGTGTTTCTGAATTTGGAATTGCAGTCTTAGGTAGTAGCCTTTCATACATACACATGTGCTGCAGCCAAAAGTAGTTAATTTGTGCTGAAACTTCTCTGACTTCCTGGTGGAAGCAATTAAGTATGGCTTTAATGTATTGTTGAAGGCTTTCATGGCCGGAATACGATGGCTGGTGTGGGTCTTCCGGGCTGTGTGGCTG